TTATTACTCGCTCAAGCATGGCTGAACAAAACCAGTCTCTACCACAAATTGGACCCAGACCTGCCCAGGGTCTCTTAAGTAGATTGCACGGAGGAGTAGCGTTCGTTATTGGAATTAACTGTGAGGGACTTTTTAAACCTAGGCCTGTGTAGGCCTTCAATTGAAGCTGCTTCTGCTCCGCCACTCTGCCATTGGACTCTTGATAGTCGTCTCCCCACACTGCTGCTGGGGGGACTTTTTAACATAGGCCTCTGTATGGCCTTCAATTTTAGCTGCTTACGCTCCGCCACTCTGCCATGGGCCCCTGTACCACCTCCTCATGCTGCTGCCAGGCTCGTAATCTGCCATGGGCCCCCGTACCGACTCCTCATGCTGCTGCCAGGCCCGTAATCTGTCATGGGCCCCTGTACCGCCTCCTCATGCTGCTGCCAGGTCCAGAGTGTGTCATGGGTCCCTGTACGGCCTCCCATTGCTGCTGTCTCCATCGCCACACTCTGCCATGTGCCACTTTCAGGTCTCCTCACACTGCTGGTGGGTTCCATTTTGTCATAGGGTGCTGTATGGCCTCCCATTGCTGCTGCCTCCACGCCACACTGTGGCTCCACACTCTGGTTTTGGCCCCGTGACTGCCCAAATGAGTGAAGTGTGCGGTGATTCTAAGATCGACGGCACTCATCTGCATGTCATACTGACTGACAGTATTATTTCTCTTCCCCAGCAGACTCCAAGGGCATTTAAATTAAAGGTACAGTGTTCTGCACTAATATAAAGGCTCTCTGAAGCCTAGAAACACCCTTTTTATAAGTTAAATTCGCAGCGAATATATTCGGCTCGAAGCGAATTTATTCGGCGAATTCGGCGAATCAGCCGAAACGAATTTTTGAATAATTCGCTCATCATCTCTAATGGCCACATTTGGTGGGACTGCCCATTTATTTGTCCATTTTTGCTAAATGTAATTCATATAAGGTCTTCAATGTGATCCTTGGACAATACTATTTCATTATACATCAGAACCAATAGTTCAGTATAAGAGATCAATTATTTCCCACCTATTGAATGCAGCTAAATCTTTATTCCAACATATTGGGGACAACAAGCTGTTCCCACATTAAGTCAATGGTTAGGGTAAAGTACATACGTTCATTTCAATCCCTCTATCAATGTTTTTTCTTACTGAGAGCCCTACTGATTGTTACTCTGTACTACTTTTATGTTTTATAACAATAAAAACTTATTGAAAAAAAAAGGCAGCTATCATTTCTGACTCTATTCAAAATGAAAACATGTTTGGAGTATAAATACACTTTAAATGGAACAACTGTTGATTCAATAGCACCAGGAGTGAGACTGCTAGAGACAGTGATCAAGATTGTGTAAAAGAAGTTCAAACCAGTAATGGTAATTATAATACTAAGGCATAGGCATATTATCAACACACATAGAGTGCGCAAACGCTCAGTGCAATATGTTTAGCACTTTATTAAAGGGTATAGACATAAATTACACTAACAAGTTAAGTGGGCTGATAGCATGTATAATGAACAAGGCACAAGGTAAAAACATCCTCTATCCAACTCCAACTGGTGAATGGACGACTTCTGCCAGTTGACGCATTTTAGGGAACTGGCCCCCTTCCTCAGGGCCACAGCTCTATACTATACCTTCTGCATCCCAAACAAATGTTGTCTGGGTGTACATGGAAGATAGTATGTAACCTTGAAAAAGATGTGGGAAAAAAGGCAAAATGAGGCACCCATTATTGCAATTAAGCTAATTTATTCAAATCAGACATTAAAATTGTTGATATATTAGGCTTTAAGCAAAGACCATCTGGCTACTGGAGTCTTTTTTTCTGATTACACGGTGCTACAACATTAATTTTAACCTGATGTGAGAAATCTATTGTGGCTGCCAGTGCTAACATCTTTCTAAATATGCTAATTGTTCGACTGTTATGCTGCCTCTCCAGCCTTTTATAATTTTTGATACACGGAGCAACAACATATATGCAGATCAGAAAAGCTGGAAAAAAATTAGAAGTTCTTCCCTGCATACTTGCTCCAGGTTAGTGACTTAGAGTATTAAAGCCAGAGGATCAACATGACAGCAAAGCAACTGACATTTTGAAAAAGACGTCCTCAGCATTGGTAGCCTCCATATTTTACTTGTGTCAGGTTTTGTTTTACTAGCAAGAAGTGACTGTGAACACGCAGCCATTTTTGAAGTGCTTTGATAATATATTGTATCACTATCCTATTGTGTTAAAGCTAAACTTAGGGATTTTTATTAAAAAAATACCCTTGCAGTACCCCCCTACTGGAAAGGTTAACTGCTCTCTCTAAGTCTAGAGGAAAAGGCTGTAATACTTACCTTAAGTTTTGAGTCTGCACACTCCAGCACTCACCTCTTCTCTGAGACACTCTAGGTTGTTGGCAAGCCCTCCTAATCCTCATGTACAATGCAAGACTATCGGCCCTGTATTTTATGTGACATCAGCATGCGACTGCTGGTTGGAGCACCATAGAAACCTTTTTGGGAGCAGTCACAGAACACAAAGAAAGCCTGCTGGAGTGAAGAACAATGTAAATATTACAGCTTATTCCTATATGCCAAAACCTAAAGAGGTAGTAAAATCTAATTAAAAAAACAAATCTGGCCCCCCTGCAGGTTAATGTCATAATGCGCTAGTATGCATCAACTTCCATGTTCACCCGGTCTTCCTTCTGGGGTTGTGGGCTCTGGCTGTTTAAACGGCGTGCACAGGGGAGTCACAGTCGCAGCACAGAGCTCTGGATTGATGGCACATTCACTATGTCTGTAGTTCAAAGTCTTTATAAATATATCCCTGTGTTTTCCTTATATCTCCTTGAAATTCAGCCTTTAAAGAAATAGTATTGATGACATAACACCTAATACTGTTATTAGACAGACTCTAGATATTAAGCCACAAAATATCTAGGATAAACAATTACATGCTATGATATCTTACAATGTACATTAATCATATGTCAAGAGCTATTAACTTTACTCAGTTAGTAGATGATTAACCCAGTTAGAGTAGATGATTAACACATCCTTTGGGAGAACATTAAAAGTCATATTTTTTTAATCAGAATACTTTTTTTATAAACTCAGCCATGTATATATGTGGAGTAAATCTCTTTCCTTAATTAGCAAGTCCACAGTAAAGGCAATGTTAATGAGAAATAAACCTGTACTATTCCAGCCATTGATTATTACTCCAGGAGAGCTGAAATGAGTCTTCATATGGAAACTAATTGTTGATGCATCTAATCAAGCATTCCTCATTGCGTTACTGGAAATCAGGCTTCCCTAACCTTAGTTAATACATATCAATTTCAAAGTGACTTTGTTGCCAAAGAAAAAAAAAGTAAAACAAAGGCACCCTGTAAAGGAAGAAGCTTAATACTTACCTTTTTGGTGGGTGGTGTGTCAAATCTTCTGGATGCCACTTAGATAGTATGTACCCTGTTGAGTGCTGTGGTTCCTCCTGTCAGCCTTTACTTTACAACTGTGTTCTCTAGGGACCTGCAAAGGAACCATAGAGCACAGCAAGAGACAAGCAGTGGAACCCAAAGCTTACAGTGAACAATTTAGTGAAAATGTTTTCCTAACATATTACATTAGATTACTATGAGTTTTAGCTCATAGAAATCCTACTCTGTATGGCTAGCCTTATACAAGAAGACTATCTATACAGAGTAGGATTTCTATGAGCTGAAACTCATAGTCATCTATTGTAATATGTTACGAAACCATTTTCACTAAAATGTCCATTGTAAGCTGGGGGCACCACTGCTTGTCTCTTGCTGTGCTCTATGGTTCCTTTGCAGGTCACTAGAGGATTTCTCATACTCAGCTCCATAGACTGAACAAGAAAAATCAATCAATTTTCCTGTCAACTCTATAGATAATGAATGAAAGGACATCTCCTTCCAGCTACTGTATCCTGGCAGCCACTGCTCCTGCAGCTGTCAGAATTCCTGAACAGGAAAATGTATCTGATTGGCTGCAGACACTTTTCAGCTGATAAGTTTTTGCCCAGCTCCTTTGATTTTCAGATCAATGTTTTTCTGTCCAGCCAGGTAGTGCTGATAGGACCATCTATAACTGGCTGAAATTAAAACCATGTATTTGTTGTCAGCATAACTCAGTGACAATTCTAATCTAATGCAATTAAAGTAGAACATTCGAAAACATTTTTGTTAGAGTGTCCATGGATTAGAACCTCCTGTGGATTTTTCTTATTGGTGTTTGTGACAATTTAGACTAATTTCCCGTCTTAGTGATCACACAGGAAGTAGGAGGAATTCCAGTGATGGTGTAAACAGCAGTAAAAGTCTGACACAGATGTTAGACCTTCCCAACTTACTAAACAAAAGATCATTTACTGCCATTAGTGTCCTAGTTAAATAACTTCCCTTCACTTTGTACCTCCCAGCTAATGAGGGGTAGCCTCCCCAGCTGGGACACAGAATGTAGTTAAAGCTGATGGAGTTTCCAATCCATGCTAGCCATACACTGATCGAAATTCTGCCAGCAGGGACCAGCCAAAATGTTGATCAATGTGTGGACTTCCCTGCTTGTTTAATCAACTTTTGTTGAAAGGATATGTTGGAAAATTTTCTATTGGTCAGTGACTGGAGCCAGTCAGCTACAGCTGCTGACCAGTGTACAAGGTCCAAGCAGAGGGGATTCCTCCATCCACTTACATTGTGAATCTGTTTTTTTTTTTGTTTATTCATAGGGCTGAAAAAAATTATTGGTATGACCAGCTTTAGTTTTGACTTTTCAGCAGTCAGTTATGTGATCAAGGGAAAAACAATGGAAAAGAACCATCCTTTCCATTGAATGAAGCAATTGTATGGTATGACATATTTAGTTTAGTTTGAACAATGATCCCTGTGTACTCTGACTATACTCAAATTTGATTGGAGCAGCTATAACACTCATGTAAAACATTCTTTGCTTTACAGATGTATTTCAATTCAACATTGACAGATTCATCTAAGTTACTGAAACCACTGCTGGTGTTCTCCTTTATCATATGTGGAATAATATGTGGCCTCACCCGTATAACTCAGTACAAGAATCATCCCATTGATGTTTACAGCGGATTTCTGTTGGGAGGAGGAATAGCCATTTATCTGGTAAGTTGAATTGGCCTTTCACATACCTTTTGCTAACATAACCCAACATGTAGAAAAAGACAGACTAATGTTTATTCTATGATAACATGCGCCATTTTACCAAATTGTAACCAGTACCCTCAGTCCCATAGACTGTTTCATATCATAAGAAAGTAGCAGATATTATAAAAAGGCAGTGTATGTGTACAGGTGTCCATGTGAAATTTGTCATCCACAGGTGCCAGATTTTCTGCAGCATTTATCAGCTGTATGTACAGGCTTGTATGTGTCATTTATCAGCCACATGTGCAGGGCCTGTGTCCTATCTTATCAGCCATGTCTACAAGCTTTCATCTGTCATTTATTATTGACAGGTACGGTTTAAAAGTGCATCTATTATCCCCATGTACACAGCCATATGTACAGGATTTTATGTGTCATTTATCACCCATGTGTACATGTTTCATGTGTCATGTATCAGCCACATGTATTTCTTTGAAACTTGTTTTACATTAGTGTTTATGTGTGTTGGGGGGGGGGAGATTTTTTTTTATTACAGAAAAGCAGAGCTCCCGCCAAGCAGTTAAACAGATAGTTAGAGTGTTACTAAACCTAGGACCCTGCATTCATTATATTTGTTCTCCCACGGTACACAAAGCATGGAAATGCAATTATTTTAGTAAACAGAAACTGCTAAATACCATTTCTCATCAGCAGTTAGATCAGTCTTGTGACTTCTATCAGTGTTCAGCAGAGCACTGGTTAAAGTTTGTAGTAGGAGTTTTCTTTATGCTCTAGGAGGATGCAAAATCCCTGACCTCTGTCTGGGGACAGTGCTGATTGGCCCTGTACTGATCACATGTACTCTACCAAAAAAAAAAAACAACCTCTCTATCCATACAAACTATACTGAGCATGTGCAGAATGGCTACGGTTCAGTCTGTCTTATCAGGAGATAAGACATGGACATTTGAACAAGAGGAGGGGCAGAGAAGTCAGGATCAAACGGCCTTTTTAAACAATGCAGAGGATTAACCCCTTAGATTCCACAGTGAGTATAACAAACATGCTTTACTGCATATACAGACTGATATTACTGTTGTGGGTTTAGTAACACTATAATAGAGAGGAGTGGGATTTTAAAAAAATAAATCTACATACTCCCCTAGGCAGATCCAGCTACAGTCGCTACACATGGGCACAGTACTGGAGGATCAAGTGAGGACTCACATAAGTATTTGGGGGAGGGGGGCAATACTGCAACTGTGAAATTTTTACCTTAATGCAGTGGCCATCAGTGTGGGCATCAGTGCATCCTCAACAGTGCCCATTAGCACCCAGCAGTGCAGCCTCAATAGTGCATCCTCATGAGTGCCCATCAGTGCAGCCTCATCAGTGCAGTCCATCAGCGCCCATCAGTGTAGCCTCATCAGCACACTTTAGTGAAGAAGAAAATATACTTATTTGTAACATTTTATAACAGAAACTAAGATAAAGGGATTTTTTCAAAATTTTCAGTCTTTTTATGTTTGTTTAGCAGAAAAATAAAACCCCCAGTGGTGATTAAATAACACCAAAAGAAATCTCAAAAAAGTATAAAATATTCATATGGGTACAGTGTTGCATGACCATGCAATTGTCAAAGTGCAACAGCACTGAATGAGGAAACTGGCACGGGTAGGAAGGAGCTGAAAGTGCCCAGTATTAAAGTAGTTAAAAACCAGGGCCAGAAAGAGGGTTTTGGATGAATCGTTCAATACACACACAAGCACTTAGCAAACGTTTCCTTCCAGCCTGAGTCAAATGCTCCACCTCAATCAAACAAAAATTAAAGACGTAGTCCTGTAAATTTTGATGGATCTCCCTGGAAGGTTCACACTGGTGAGAATATGTCTGACAGCAGATTGGGAAGCAATAAAGAAGCCACATGCATCAGGAACAATTTTGTTTGCAGTGAACATGTTTCCATAATCTTAAGGTGTATCTTTTTTTTAACACTTATTATTACAAATATCTAAAGGCATTTCTTAAATAGTATAGAAGGGTTAGTACCTTTGTAAGACTGTTATTGTTGTCTGTGTCCCCACTAGGGAGATTCAGCCTTCTATTTGGCTCAGTTACCACAGTCTTCAAGACTAATGGCTCTTGTACACTGCAGCTGCTAAACTGACATTCGGGAGCTTTTCTGTGTTTTTTTCAGCAGCCCCTGAACTCTCCCTAATGTTTTCCTATGTGTCCATGTACATATCATCGTTTACAGTCGTTTACAGGCAGTTGAGTTTACAGTTGTTTTTTTGAACTCACCAAACTTGCGTTCGGGAGTAGACTTTACTGGCGTTTCAAACGCCAAATGCTTGTAAACACGTGTAAACGCTTATAAATGTTGCTAACCACGTTTATAAGCGTTTGTTTTTTAACTGTTTTATGTCCAGCTGCTGTCCAGAGTCTTTTTTCATCATCGGAAATGCATGCAAAGCATTTTCTATGTATTCATATGGACCTAGTACACCAGTGCAGTCAGTTCCAGGTTTCGCGTGAAGGAAAAAATGGTAGAACACGCTGCATTATGCTCATGATGGGATCCATAGTGACTACAACCAGAAAAGATAGGTAATCTCAACACATACTGCTCTCTCTGCTTCTGCTCTATTTCTCTCAAAATGTCTGAAATAGTTAATTTTTTACTGTTTTTCAGTGCATTCTGGGAATTTGGGAAGGTCTCCTGAGGTTATCTTTTAAAACCGCTTCTAAATGCAAACGCACATAAACACGGTATGCAAATGCGGTTAAACTGACGTTTTTACCCTACATTTTCCAGCAGTCAGTTTCCATCGTTCAGAAGAGTTTTCCAAATGCCCCGTGTACATGAGCTCTAAAAGTGAAGGAAAATCCGCCATTTTATCATTGGAACAGTTGAAATCTTCCAATGAGGACAGCTGTTACTATGACAACTATCTTAGAGTAGATTTCACTTACTTTGGTGTGCTTTCCTTTCACTTCCTTCATCTTGAGACAAAAAGTCAATGATGATCTCCCTACTGGGACACAGATGCAAAAAAAAAAAAATCTTAACATAGGTTTAAACCATATACAAAAAGGTTGTACTTTGGATATGCATTAAAAGACAACTATTGCAGAACATATGAAATGAAAATTTCCAGCTACCTATATTTTATGTAAGAAAAATGAATTGTTCAAAACATGCATTGCGTTCTTAAACATTTTTAATTTTATGTTCATTTCCATTTAGGTGCACACTAAACTGTCCAGAGAAAGTGACAGTTGATGCCATTTTAGTCAATTTAGTATACTGCAGGTTGCTTTCTTTTATTTCGATAGCTTAGACCTCCTTTTAAGAAAAAAACAAACTGAAATCAGCACAGTCTTCGATTAATGAAAATACCTACATGCCAATATTATTATTAGCCTATAATTAGTCTTTTTTAATGTTTTAAAGCCTGTTTAATGTTATCATGTGTTTCCAATCTCTACATGCTCCCATTGCAGCCAGCCAACATAATTGTTCTGCTGTAGATCAGTCTGGTTCACTCCCATGCGGTGATCCATAAATACCAGCCATCCTGACATATCACTGAGCAGCCTACTACAGTAAAAGGCTGAAAGTAAATCAGCACCTAACAAATAACCAGATATGAGCACTCCATTCGTAGTTAAATAAAGTATGCACACCAGGGGCGGACTGACAACTCATGGGGCCCCCGGGCAATAGGGGATCATGGGGCCCCTGTGTTCTTGCCCAAACTCAAAAAAGCCTATGAAAAAGGTACCAGGGGCATCTCATGGGGCCCCCTACTGACCCCGGGCCCTCGGGCAGTGCCCGAGTTTCCAAATGGTCAGTCCGCCCCTGATGCACACACATATATCCTGACTGCTACTCTCAGCACTTTTTAGGCCAGTCGAGAAGTGTGAAGGGCAGTTCTTATTCACATATAGTCCTGAGAGACTGATCTGTGGTGGTAGAATTATTTCAACAGACTGTTTGTGAAAAGATGGAGATTGCATCATATTAATGTAGAGCAGGTATGAACCAAACAGCTCGGAATTCGGCTCAAATTGGGTTTGTAAAACATTAAGAAGTTCAGATGCTGGACCCAAAACCTAGAGGGTGTGGGGTGGGGTGCAAATTCTGCCTGTGAAGGGGTAAATCTTTGTGATGTACTAAAAGTTCTACAAAAGCACTGACACTTACAAAGGAAAAATGTGATTTAAATTGTTGGCAAAGTACATTTTCCTGTTGGCTGAAAAAATAAAATACAGCACAGTCTCATTTGATTTCTGGGGACCTTTATAAGGGTCAGCAATTAAATGTAATTTAAACACAAAAATAGGTGCGCTGCCCCTTTAAATTGCTCATGAAATGTGTAATAATTTACATATCCCAAATAACAAATAAAGCACTTTTTTTTTTTTACAATTTAATAAAAAAAAAATCTTTTTCTTACAATTTTTTTTTTTACAAATGCCAGCGCCCACCCCTTCTGTAGCAACCATAATCAATGGAAGCTGCCATATACAGAAGTGGTAAAAGTAGCACTCCTACAGTCAGGTCCATAAATATTGGGACATCGACACAATTCTAACATTTTTGGCTCTATACACCACCACAATGGATTTGAAATGAAACGAACAAGATGTGCTTTAACTGCAGACTGTCGACTTTAATTTGAGGGTATTTACATCCAAATCAGGTGAACGGTGTAGTAATTACAACAGTTTGCATATGTGCCTCCCACTTATTAAGGGACCAAACTTAATGGGACAATTGGCTTCTCAGCTGTTCCATGGCCAGGTGTGTGTTATTCCCTCATTATCCCAATTACAATGAGCAGATAAAAGGTCCAGAGTTCATTTCAAGTGTGCTATTTGCATTTGGAATCTGTTGCTGTCAACTCTCAAGCTGAGATCCAAAGAGCTGTCACTATTAGTGAAGCAAGGCATCATTAGCCTGAAAAAACAAAACAAACCCATCAGAGAGATAGCAAAAACATTAGGCATGGCCAAAACAACTGTTTGGAACATTCTTAAAAAGAAGGAACGCACCGGTGAGCTCAGCAACACCAAAAGGCCCGGAAGACCACGGAAAACAACTGTGGTGGATGACCGAAGAATTCTTTCCCTGATGAAGAAAACACCCTTCACAACAGTTGGCCCAAGAACCTCCAGGAGGTAGGTGTATATGTGTCAAAGTCAACAATCAAGAGAAGACTTCACTAGAGTGAATACACAGGGTTCACCACAAGATGTAAACCATTGGTGAGCCTCAAAAACAAGAAGGCCAGATTAGAGTTTGCCGAACGACATCTAAAAAAGCCTTCACAGTTCTTGAACAACATCCTATGGACAGATGAGACCAAGATCAACTTGTACCAGAGTGATGGGAAGAGAAGAGTATGGAGAAGGAAAGGAACTGCTAATGATCCTAAGCATACCACCTCATCAGTGAAGCATGGTGGTGGTAGTGTCATGGCGTGGGCATGTATGGCTGCCAATGGAACTGGTTCTCTTGTATTTATTGATGATGTGACTGCTGAAAAAAGCAGCAGGATGAATTCTGAAGTGTTTTTGGCAATATTATCTGCTCATATTTAGCCAAATGCTTCAGAACTCATTGGACGCCGCTTCACAGTGCAGATGGACAATGACCCAAAGCATACTGCAAAAGCAACCAAAGAGTTTTTTAAGGGAAAGAAGTGAAGAAGAATTGAGCATGCATTTCACTTGCTAAAGACAAAACTGAAGGGAAAATGCCCCAAGAACAAGCAGGAACTGAAGACAGTTGCAGTAGAGGCCTGGCAGAGCATCACCAGGGATGAAACCCAGCATCTGGTGATGTCTATGCGTTCCAGACTTCAGGCTGTAATTGACTGCAAAGGATTTGCAACCAAGTATTAAAAAGTGAAAGTTTGATTCATGATTATTATTCTGTCGCATTACTTTTGGTCCCTTAACAAGTGGGAGGCACATATGCAAACTGCTGTAATTCCTACACTGTTCACCTGATTTGGATGTAAATACCCTCAAATTAAAGCTGACAGTCTGCAGTTAAAGCACATCTTGTTCGTTTCATTTCAAATCCATTGTGGTGGTGTATAGAGCCAAAAATGTTAGAATTGTGTCGATGTTCCAATATTTATGGACCTGACTATATCTATGATGTTCAGCTCCCACTGACTAAGGGACGGAACATCCAGGTCTGGTCTAGAATTGGGTTTGAACTAAAGCATTGGCTCATCCCTGGCTGTAAGATAGTAAAATACTTATTATAAGCAGGGTTTTTTTTTTAAATAACGGTAACCAAAGGCTACTGCCTAGGGCAGCAAACTTAATGTAAGCCACACTAATGCAGGCCATAGACGGGTCACTTATTGGCCGAATTTTCGTCCGCATGAAATATCGGCCGATAATCATGCCGTTAGTGGGGCCAGCCCGTCGGCTGTTTTTCGCGGATCTCCTCGTTTATTTTTATCGGTCATGCTGGAAAATCTGCGAAAAACTGCCGTTTTTCACGGACATGGGTGGCAAAAATTTGGCCGATAAATGGCCCGTCTATGGCCTGCCTAAGCCTCAAAACACATAAATTGTGACAAGGTTTTCCTTGTTTTATTTCCCATTTCTATATGCCTTTTATGACCTAATGTATCAAGGGAGCTATATGGTATACAACGAACACCAAAAGAAAGTCACAAGCTTCTTAGGAGTATAGGAAACATGAAACATCTCTCCTTTCTCTTCTTTGGTGGTCTGTGCAATTAATTAAATCTTTACCTATAAAACAAACACCACAAGAAGCACTTCCTAGAATTATTTTAAATAATCACAAAGGAGTGGAACTTGTGCAAACAAGCATCTGGTATATCCAGGGTAGCATGAAGTCCATATACAGCATGATTATAAACTAATTATAATGGCACCATGCAGATACAGTATTTCAATGAATTAAAATGTGTTTTCTTAAAAGCTGGTTAAAGCCATGTAAATAAAGGAAAGTAAATAAAGGAAAGCCCTGCTGCAATGTAAAGATTTGTCTCAAATTCTATCACTTATACTGACAGGTTCTTGACATGTTCTTATATTTATGGAAAAAGACAAAGACAGTAAAGGCATTTACATTTTAAAAATTTAAATCCATGACCAAAATACTGTCATTATAGGCACCGGTCTCAGTACAGCTGTCAAGATTGTTCCTGACAGCTATTCTTTTAAAAGTAAGCCCACTCAACAGATTGGGATGGGTCATCTATGTAAATTGCACTCACAACAATCATTTGATATAAAGTCTTGTCCCAACTACTTTCAAGGCCTGTCTGCAAAAGGGTCATTTGACATATCCAGAGAGTCCGTGTGTCAGATAAAAAAAACTATTATATGGTTGTTGATGGAAGAGTTAGAAGCCTACATGTATGAGTATATAAAGGAGAAGGAGGAAATTAAAGTATAAGCAATACCATTACTCCATAACTGAATATAGTTTAATAGCATACTTGTGAGGATGTTTTTGCTAAAAGCCTCTGTGTCATTATTTTTATCATATATCTTTATACTCTAGGGCCTTTATGCTGTTGGAAACTTTCAGCCCAGCGAGGACAACATCCCACAGAAGCCTCCTCCACCTCTCAGAGAGCCATTAAGGTCTTTAACAGACATTAGCCAAGACACCAGTAGGATACTACCAGGAAAAAATGGCAGCAGCAATGATGGTATTTCATCTCATCCCTCTGAAAATATCTTGAACAGAAACAATAGAGAATCAAGCTCTCTTACCAATATAAAAAGAGCAAGTACTGATGTAGAAGTAATAACCCCTCGAAGCCCCATGGGCAAGGAAAACATGGTCACATTTAGCAATACTCTTCCCAGAGTTCATACTCCTTCAATGGAAGATTCAGCTAGGAGGAATGCTACAATCCATGCTTCAATGGATTCAGCTCGGTCAAAGCAACTTCTTTCTCAGTGGAAGACTAAAAATGAAAGTCGAAAGCTGTCTTTGCAGGTAATTGAGACAGAGTCTGGTCTTTCTCCACAAAGAGTAATAGAAATGAGATCAAGCTCTGAGCCTGTTAGGGTTGGTGTTAATGGAGACCATATTGGCCCTGGCAACCCATATATTAAATTACAGCCTGGCAGTATGCCAGGTTGTAACAACACAGGTATTCCTGGTGGACCCAGAGTGTCTATACAGTCACGTCCTGGATCTTCTCAGTTGGTACATATCCCAGAGGAAACCCATGAGAATATCATATCTACTTCACCCAAATGCAGTTCTGCTAGATCAAAGTGGCTCAAGGTCGCAGAGAAAAGTGTTTCCTGTAGAAGTAATAGTCAGCCAAGGATTATGCAGGTCATAGCTATGTCAAAACAGCAAGGAATGCTGCAGGGTAGCCCTAAAAGCTCAGAAGGAAGTACAGTTAGTTGCACTGGATCCATCAGATACAAGGCCCTGACAGAACACGAACCCACAAATATAGTACGGATTGAGGCCCATCCTGAAAACAACAGGCCGATTATCCAGATGCCATTAGAAGGAGAAGGGAGTGGATCCTGGAAATGGAAAGCTCCTGAGAAAGGAACGTTGCGTCAAGCTTATGAGCTGAATGACCTCAACAGAGACTCAGAAAGCTGTGAGTCATTAAAAGACACTTTTGGGACTACTGAAAGAAAACGAAGCAACATTGATAATGATCACCTCCTTCATGGAATAACCACAATACGGGTGACACCAGTAGAGGGCAGTGAAATTGGCTCAGAGACTGTATCTATTTCATCAAGCCGTGACTCTACTCTAAGAAGAAAGGGTAACATCATCTTAATCCCAGAGAGAAGTAACAGTCCAGAAAGCACTCGGAATATCTTCTACAAAGGAACATCACCAACACGTACCTACAAAGAATGAAAACAATATTCTGTTTCCATTAGTTTCTACCAGAAACAGTTCTAATTTCATACAGCTTGTGCTCTTATTAGTTTGGAGATGAAGCAGAAAACAACCTTAAATGTGCCAAAATTAGACATGATCAGATGGTTTGCAGTTTTATTTACCAGTATGGACAATAGAACATTACTAACTTGTGCAGAATGGGACTAAACTAAAAGCACAATGCAAAGAATTCTAACCAATGCGAATAACACAAAAAGCATCATACAATCAGTTTCTTTAAGCAAAAGTGGCTAACAAGAAAAAAAAGAGATACTGTTAGGAACAATACAATGGAACAAAGGAACTTAGACACTTGATTTGATGAATGTGCCAACATCAACATTTCCTTCTCCTTAACCTATGAAATTATGAGTTCCACCTAAAAAAAAATAGGAAAAATTTCTTTCATGTAAAATATTTACATTTGCAGATTATGCACACATGAAGAGGTGATGCTTGGTCCAAATCTAAAAAACATATCTGCACAAGCACATAATACTTTATAATATAATAGTTTTTTCAACAGTCCAGTTGCTTCTGCTAGGACAACAGTGACTGCCCTTGTACAGATTATGACATTCAGCTCTGTTATTGTGAAATAATTGCACTTGACTTGCCATAATTTAGTGCAGATCTGTCCTCACAGTCAACTTTGACAAAATGTGGGTGTAATTCACTTACAATGATATAACTGTTTCATTTTGTTAGTTAGTACTTCTGTAATTTGATCATTATTTTGTTCTAACTAAAAGTGCAGATTGTACTAAAGAAAAGGTGCTCAAGTGGTGGGGGCATCCAAGATTTATGGATGTCTCATCCACCTTTCCATGATTGTTCTTTTTTCATAATTTCATTAACACTGAACAGGGTTTAATGTGTGTTAGAGTAGATATGGCTACAGGTCTATTGGGTACTAAAAATTATTATGTACAACACTGCCGGACCAAAAAAAAAGAAATGCGAAGATGTGAAGATGTGATTTTATTTTCCATACAAAGTTTTTATTGAGAAATATGGCATGGCATATTGAAAATGGTGGCACAGCCATTATGATCAGAGGATTATAGCAAACATACAGAGGTTTAAAGAAGAATAGTTTGTAATCCATAGTATATATGAAACTGGAGCAACTTTATAGACTGTCTGAGTTTAGTGGTTTGGATCATATTTAGATCCCAATGGAAAGTCAAATGAAATATGCTTTTAACAGAAAGAAGAAATATTTTATCTAATAAGAGTTTCATTTTTTTAAACTTTTTGTGTTTCAATCAACTTGTTACATAGACTGCATTTGTATTGAGGATGCCTCTTGATAAGGCATCCTTGGCACTTACCATCAAATAATAAAATCTTTACTGATGTCATAGTTGGAGATACATAACCAGCAAACCTGTGCCAAAGCAGTGTGAATTGTTCAACACACTTTTCTCTTTCTTATCACCAAGTATTGCGTACACAGTGGCTTTTTACAGGATAAATTAGGAGGGCTGAAATACATATGGGAATTATATTTTTTCTTCCAATAAATTAAAATTACCAATATTTCCTTTTCTTCTCAAAGAAATCACCTATACCCAGTCCACTGTTTCCTCTACAAGGTTCACAGGTGTGGTTGAGGCATACAACAAATATTCATGGTCTCTATTAGTTGGAAAAGCAGCTCCTAAAGCAATATAATAGGCCTGTCTCCTATTTGCCAGTAACGAAAAATGTTCATATTGTAAAGTATAATTAGATACACAGTAAGTAGTTCAACCAGTATGCTCACCACTGGAAATATTATTTGGATGTCGGAGACCACTGAAGTGAACTGCAAAAGTAGTGGAAATGTCTCCACTACATTTTGGTATAGCTAGAAATATTTTAGGTCTCTCTCTTTTGCTGCATCAATCAACTTAAGTGTATGTAAACCCAAAATCTAATTTTCAGTATGTTTTACTGTATACAGTTTTCAATTTGTAAATCTACTGCAAAGTTTCTTGTTTAGAGATCCTGCCATCATTAGCTCTTCCTGTTGCAGGCTGACAACATTAAGCTACAAACTCTTGAACAGCAGCAGCATTCTCAGCTGGCTGTGCATAGTCCTTCAGTTGGCTGTCTATCTGATAGTCCTCATAGGCAGTCAAATCGCAAAATAAAGAAGCACGTACTGCAAGTTGACAATGCTGCTAATAATTATGGAACAGTGACTCAGCCTTATATATAGGGTTTATATAAAACTTTAAAATTCTATCTACTCAATAAAAATAGCTATTAACATTTACAGATATGTGTGTGGAGACCCATGTTTATGCATTGAGATAGTTGACATTGTATACAACCAGCAATATTCATCTAACAAGTTGTTGCAAGTCAGCTGCGTAAATTCAGCAACCAACACCTACAAAAATGCAAACTTTATTTCAGATATATTAAAGTGGAATTAAAGGCAGGAACACTCACCTATGCTCCAAAGGGCCAATGCCCACGAGGTCTCTTGCTGGTGCCAGCGTCTTCTCCCCAGCATCTTCCAGGTACCAGTCTTTGGTCATCTTACTTGGCTGGTGTGGAATGATGTAATTCCCACACATGTGCTGAAGAGCAGTCATCCCAGCACACAGGCACTGTATCAGAATATAAACAATTCACCGTGTACGTCTTACAGAAAATTGTGAACAGGCAGGTAAGGATATTGTATTGGAGAAGAGACACTGCATGTCTCTTCTGCAATAAACAGCCTGCCTGTTTGTAATTGTTTTTTTGAAGCTTTTAGTTCCACCTAAGTTCTAATAGGTCCCTAATCTGGGCAACATACAGATATATCTCTGAAAATGACACACAGTGAAATATCTGGCCATCCTTGCACAGTTATCTGAGTTTCAGAACCCACTGCAATACTTACAAGATGGTCACAGTGGCCAAGATGGTGTGTTTTGATGATCTCTATAGAAAAAAACATTGGGGCCACTCTTAAATTTTCCAACCAGAGATTTCCCTTGCATGATAACGAGCATCTTGTCATCGTCACCCAAGTGGCCTGAAAAAAAGACAGCTAATCGAAATTGGTGCTCAAAATCACTTGTAAAGCTTGGCTGATTTATAACTTTTCATATTTATCTGCAAATGTTAAAGCCTAGTTTCAGCCGGAATTCTTTTTAGTTTTGGATAGTGTGAGGAAATGTTTAAATGTCTACTAGGTTTTTTCTATCTGTGACTGCATCTCCTTACGTCCTGTCCTGGTGACAACCGTACATGAAATATGGGATGCATCTTTTTTACCAGGACAGGAAGGCATGGAAAGCAATAAAAGCATTGGCAGAAGTTTTAACTCTTCCCCACTCTACTTAAATTGTGTCTGTGTTTTTTGTCAGTTCCCCTACTGGAGATATTCGAGAGAAAATCTCCCTAGCAGGGGCACCCAGACCAAATCTGACAGAGCTTGTAACCCTACTCTGTTCTCTCCAAACCAAGGTTTTGCTTGAAGTTAGACTTTAAGAAAAGCTCTATTTCACAAAGCATCATGTAATTTATATTTGCTAACCACCTAAGTGAGGTTCACAACTTTCACACACAGGCTGGAAAAATTATCCCATCTGTGCCATCTTAAGACTAACAAAAACTATATCCTCACCCCTGTATACCTATTTGTCAAGTTCCCATTTCTCATCAATGCTTTACACTCACATATTTTTTGGAAAGCTAACAGTTAAATATTATAACATTTCACAGATATGAAAACTTAGTACAGGTATGTGACTTTTTTCTACTCAAACTTTCCAAAGTCTTAAACAAGATTTCTGATTGTTTCAGTAATCCCTGAAACTGTGCTCTTTACATGGACTTTGTTCGTGTAAGTCATTTTATACTTAAAGTGCCAAAACTGACTTCTTTTTTTATTTTGTAGAGTATATAATATAATAATAGTATATTGTAAAACACCAATTTAAAAGGACATCACATGTTTGAAATGAACATCTGCATGAATATTTGATAATGATACAAATAAAATGCCTTTTGTAAATGTGACATTTGTTTACATTATACTAATACCTTAATTTCAAAACAATCAAGTACCAGATGACATCTTTTTAAATTTCTAATTTTCTTACTTGCTAAAATGGGCACTCATTTCTTTGTGAGGCTGTGCTTTATTGAAAAAAGACTATAAAATACAACTATGTTTTTTTCAAAAAGAAGAAAACTTGGATGTAAAGTATTGTGTTTAATAAAATGTTATGCAAATGTTTTCAAGACCGAAAAATTTGTAAATTGCTATAAATGTATTTTATCTAAGTAAAAATCAATGCTACTGTGTGAGTTATTGTGTAAAACATCACAAAAAATAAAGATACAATCTCCAATATATTTTCGTGCTCCCATCTGTAAAATTGCAAGAAAAAAAACTTGTATTTCAAGACACATTTACCAATATCCATAGCTAAAGAAGAATTATAGTATTTGGGTAATTTTATGTTTTTAAACTCATGTTCTAGATTATTATGTGCTTAACAGAAAATACAGGGCACACCTATGACATTGGTGTCATTGAGAAGATTAGGAGCTGTTTTTCTTTAGACACTCATTCTCTGATTGAAATGATCATAAGTTTGGCTGACCAGAGCAGGGATGGAGTAAGATAAGTCCATGCTCTAAATTTAGTTATATACTGTATGTAAATATACATTTAAAGTGGAGCACCAGTTCTTAAAAAATTAAAACTCAGCAATTACAAAAACTTTAGCTGCTGACTTTTAATAAAAAGACACTTATCTGTCCCTGGATCCAATGCTGAGCTCACTTGAGGGGGCGACAGGAACCACCTTCGGTCCCCGGCATCCTAACTATGGACACTTGCAGCTACACAGCTGGGTGACCACTGCGCATGTGTGAGCCACGCTGCGCATTGTGATGGATCACACAGTCTTCTGGGACCTGGGCCATGTCCCAGAAGACTGTGGGGACGGAGGGGGTAAGGTGGAGCTCCACTTTAAGCTATT